TCTTCCACACAGAGCAACCCTACATGTTTATTTTATTGCACAGCTGTTCTCCAGAAGATGTTTCTTGAGACCTGGACTGTACAGGATGCCCCTGGAGCTGGGAATTGGAGTCTTAATCACTTGTGTTCCCAGTTGCATATCCACAGCACTTGAAAAACATCTGGTATTATTCCTTAACTGTTTTCCTATTTGTAGTTCTTATCCCCTCCCCCAGAATAAGCTCCCAGAATATGAGGTTTGTTGCTTCAACTTATTTCTACTCTCTCTTAGCAACTAGCATTTCGTTCATCATATGCTGAGAAAAGCAACTTACCTTCTTCCATTTTGGATGTACTTTTCTGTTAAAAGTTGGAGGAAATAAGGAACTACCGTAATTTGAGAGAGACTAGTGGTCAAAGGGAGATTTCAAACCATCTAGATAAGCAAGCCTGGGAAACAATTCAGAAGCTCTGTGGAATTGAGCCTGGGTCAGAATGAAATAATTCTTTCCAGGGAAGTGGTAGACCTTATAACTAAAAAATGATTTTCATTATTAAAGAGGCTTAGAAAAATCAAGTTCCTTTTAAGAAAGTCCTACAGTTATTTTATCCTCTATGTGACCCAGAGTTTCAGCAAAAGTTCCCAAATCAGATGTAATAAAGGAGAATTTTCTGTGAAGGTTAAAGCAAGGGTATATGTTTACCTCATCTGAATGGTATGCCACAGGCTCTCAAAAGGGGTTTGAGATCGGTGAGCTCATTGACAACACCCCCAAATGCTGTCTTTCTCAGGCCTTCAGGGAGATCATGACTGGGACTATGTCTTTGAATCTGCAATATCTTAAAGAATGTGTTGTTTTGGGAGTATTGGTTTATCTAGAACAGTGTTTCTCAAACTTTATTTCATTAATGTCCATCTTAGGAACCTTCCCAGACCATTTTTTCCCTAATTATTTCCCCCTCCCATGAAGTGTTAATATTATGGATATAATGTGTATCTATTTATATTCTCTGGTGCTTTGGAGGGGAACAAATGATTGTACTGTCTAAGGTTTTGTAGGTTTTTTTTCCCACATGAACCAGTTTTCATTCTCATGGGGGCAATATTGCCCATGTTGAGAATGCATAATCTAGAAGTATCATGATCTTGGAAATGAGCTGTTATTTGTACCTTTTCCTACAAATTGAAACTAGGACAAGGACAAAGATTATCAATAAAATAATGTTGAAAAGAGTCTCTTGATGCAGTGGCCTGCAGCCACGGGAAAAGAGTACTTTTACCACATTTAATGGCTTGTGTGGAGGACATTTTCTCTCTGAACAATCTCTTGATCATTTGAGGAAAGAATGGGAAACCCCAAGAGTAGCAGAGCAATAAATGCAGCTCTCTAAAAGAACAAATACAGACCACAAGATGCTTTTGCCGTGATTTGCTGAAGAGGAAGACTAGGTGATACTGAAGAATCTGGGTATAAAATTGTCAAATAAATGCAGCTCTCTAAAAGAACAAATACAGACCACAAGATGCTTTTGCCGTGATTTGCTAAAGAGGAAGACTAGGTGATACTGAAGAATCTGGGTATAAAATTGTCCATTGTTCCAAGGCTAGTTAGCTCTAACAAGTTCAGTTTCTCAAAGTAAGAGTTGGTTTGCAGCAGAGAATACCATTTAGGTTATCTAGCATTCAAGACTGTTCTATTCTCCCAAGAGGGTTTGGCTCTGTTTGATCAGAAGGGTGGTTGTGTATGAAATGCGCCTCAGAAGGAGGAGGAAGAAATGACATGTTCATGTAAATGAAATACAACTGCAAATTAAAGTGTCACCCTGTTTTAAAAAAAAAAAATCCATTTTTTATTTAATTGGTTACCAAGGAAAAAATGTCATACAGAAGTGTTTTTCTCAGGGAAGGTTAAACCATGAGATGTTACAATCGATTCCAGGCAGTTGGAGGGGGGAGGGATAAAAGATTGCCTTAATAAAAATATTCTGATACCACAAAGCTAGGCTAATAAATTTCTGCCTTGTTACATGCCAGGGGTCCAGAAGAGATTAACAGATATTGCCTCGTTTGTTCTTTACTGTCTCTATCGAGTCAGCTGAGTGCTAGCTGCCTCTTCCCTGGAGGAAGCCTCCTTTTGAGATGTTTTATTAGGAAGAAGGTTACGTACAAATGAGAAGATACGTTCTCCCAAGGAGCACTGCTTACTACCAAGACATCCAGTGACTGAAGTGTTACTAGCTTTTCCATGTTAATGATGTCCTTTCATTTTTCACTTTTCTTTTCCCACATTTTTATGAAAACTCACCTGTCTCTTTAGATTGTGAGCCTACCAGACAGTGTACCTTATTGCCACATTAATGGCACTAAATGAATGTTAAGTAATAATGGGAGGGGCTGATGAATGAGATTATATTTCCATGTAGAATTGTTCCTTGAGAAACATGTTGGGTTTCTCTTTGAGACAAAGACTTGCCAGATGGGACTTGTCAGCTTTCTTCAGCCTTACTTGTGGTCCTTCCTCTTCTCCCTCTCCTTCTGATCCCAATATTGTTTTATGTTATACAATGGAAACACATAGTTGTATAATGTGCTCTCTTTGTCTTCTTTCTCATCAGGGGCAGTGATCGGTGATGGACAGTCTGCTGTGGCCAGTAACATTGCCAATACTACCTACCGGCTCCAGTGGTGGGACTTCACTAAGTTTGATCTCCCAGAAATCAGTAATGGTAAGCCAACGTAGAACTGGGGTTACTAGGGAGGGGATGAAGCCAGAACTTAAAAACTCATGTAGTCCTGGATTTTTCATCATCTCGTTGAGCAGATGATGGCCACGTGCCATTTCTGCAGCTCTTCTGCAACTCTCAGTTAAGCAATTCAGCAAACATGTCTTGACGCCCCACCCTGAGGAGTGAATAGTGTTAGGTACAAAGGTGGACACAAAAATGGATGTCTCTGCCCTGAGGAGTTTGTGAAATTTGGCTGAAGTATAAAAGTTTAGGTGGAACTGAAAGGAAGAGAAAGGGAAGAGAGTGTAGGAACTGAGAGCTAGGCAACAGCTCTCTGAGGAAAGGCA